TGTGTACTCCTAAGTGTTTACAATGATGAACTCTTTGCAATTGAGAACCATTTATATTGATATCTAAGTTAACATTAGACAACTTTGATAATTTTTGGTGTGTGCCAATAATCATCAATTCTGTCTTCTTTACATTCAGACTTAATTTGTTACTGATTAACCATTTCCTTATATTTTCTAGGTCAATATTTATCTTATGGGTTACATCTATAATGTCATCAGAAGCATAATAAAGGGCAGTATCATCAGCATACATACTAATTGTCCCATATTTTACAACACTTGGAAGGTTATTAACATATAATAAAAAAAGGAGTGGACCCAAAATGGATCCTTGTTGGATGCCACATACCACTTGGCATTGTTTAGATGATTTAAAAGATTTATTAATTAGGTCAGTTATAGGGACTGATAATTCATACGCACATTCTCGAATAACCTTAGGGGGTAGGTTATCAGGCCCTCCAGCCTTTTTAACATTGATTTTACGAAGGTCTTCAAAAAACTCCCAGGTTTGGAAGGTAGGTGGTGGAACAAAACTAGGGAGATAAGCAGGCAAGGCCTCAAGGTTAATTGGCTCCTGGGATTGGGAGAAACTGGCTATAAAGGTGTTAATTGTATTTGCTATTAACATAATGTCATTCGGGTCTACATTTGGCACTTGGATACAAAGGTCATTTGATTTACCCATGTTAGCAAGTTCCTTTAATTCGCTGTGCCACTTCCCAGGATCAATCTTCCGCAGTGGTCTCACTTTACGTGCTTGGAAGGATTTCTTAACATTTTTAATTTCGTATGCTACTTTGTTCCTAAGCCTTTTATAGAGAACCAAATTACCAGTTGCAAAAGCTTTCTGACGGTTCTTTATCAAGTCTTTGATGTGTTGTTTCATCCATGGCTTATCCGTTCTGTGAGACTTTATTGTTTTTAATGGTAAGTATTTATCTATAGCATTGTTCACTAACATATAGAAGGCATCGGCTTTCGCTTGTGTACTTTTTGCTTGAAGTACCTCTTCCCATGATTGTGCTTGGGCCCATCGTCCGATCAGCGACAGCTTGGATTCAGGCATTGGTCTGACCTTTTTAAAATTAATTGTATTGTTTTTAATGGCAAAAGGCGGAGAAACTTCAATGACATTGTGGTCACTATGACCGATAGGCGCAGAAATTGTGGGCGAGTTGTATAATTCTCTCAGGTTAGTTAACACAACATCCAATATATTGTCACCTCTGGTGGGGACTTTAACAATCCGTTTAAGTTTGTTACCTGTACAAAGTGAACTGATGTTAAGTCGGTTCAGATCTCCGCAAATAAAGATTCCGGCTTGTGGTTTCTTAACTCTAGTTAGATCAACACATGTATGTAGATGGGTTAACATTACATTACCATTTTCAGCTTCGGTTCTAGATGGCAGGTAAACACTGCCTAACACAATATATGGTGCTACCCGAGGGAGCCTTGGGTGCTTCAATACTAGCCACTGAGCCTCGAGTTCATCTGGGACCACAATATCCGAGAAGATTTCTGCAGCAATGTTGTCTTTAACATAAGTTAGTATTCCTCCACCTTTTCTATTTGACCTGCAATAATTAAAAACATTATAGCCTTCGATAGAATATCGCTCCGTGGCGGTATCTGATGTTATCCAGGATTCACATATGCAACAAACATCAGGTTGCTTATCATTAATTAGCATACGAAGTTCATCAACTTTGTTCATTATTGACCGAGCATTAGTGACCGAGCATTAGTGACCATCAGCTTAGGTAAGAAAGGAGAATGTATCCTTCTATTACTATTGGGTAGCACCTCTGCTACATAATGCCTAGGCCAACTACCAGAAGTACTGGAACTTGACATGTGTTTAGACGTATGTGTTATTAAACAGTTTAAGGGCCTACTTCTCTTACCAGATCTACACCCTCTTCTCGTGCGTGGTTTAGCAATGCCAAGCTGCTTAGTCCACTCCCATATTGGCGATGGGGTCTAGGTTTATTCCCAGGCACAGCATTAATGGCTTTAAGCTGTTCTGAACAATACGTAACACGACACATAACTACACTCAGCGAGTAAATAAAACGGAATGCAAGCCAGGTGGGTATGCAGCAAGCATAAATCGTTGATGGCGGTGTTAGGCTCCGTCCAATAGCGAGTATCACAAAAAAAAGGAACGACGAGAAGCAATTAAGTGCGTCTCGTATACTCGTATACAAAGGCTCATCCAGGCTAAGTTTGCATAGGAAAATATTCAATTAAATTATGTCTCTCCCCAATCTCAGTTGTCAAAAAGACTCAACACAATAGGCGGACAAATCATCAACAGCAATCAAACAACACAAACCATAAGCAATGGAAGGTTGAAATCAGCAAAAAAACAGTTTTACAACGAGCCACTGGATAGCGGCCTTCCGGCGCTCTTCCAGGTATATATATGTATATATCTATATATGTATATGTATATGTATAGGCCTATGTATATATATAAATATATATATATATATATGTATATGTATATGTATATATGTGTATGTATATATGTGTATATATATAT